GGTCTTAAAGTCAATCCCGGCTACTGGGGTTGGGGTGCCAAAGGGAGTGGTAGTTTATAGCTATCATTGGAGTCGTCAGCAATGGATTGAGTGCTCACTCGAGTCGGCCCACCGGTGGGGCGACCCCTTTGAGGGAAGGGACGGTAAACTGGAGGGACTGTTGCCACCAAACTATCCGGTGTTTGTCTACCGGTGCTGTTCAGTCATCGTCGGTACCGACAGCACCGGCACTGGTAGTCGGTCTCCGATTTGGTGCAACGTTTCGCTATCTCAACAAAGTTTGAAAACTATTTTATTGTTTGCTATAAATAATTACAATTTTAAATAAAATATATTAATTGTAATAATTAAACAACTTTTAGTAATATTGAAACATAGTTTTTACTTTTAACAAAATAATTAAGCAAATTCACTTATTAATACTAATTTTAAAGATTTAAACTTGATAAATTAGCTACAAACTCAAAGGCAATTTTCAGTAAACTGATAGTAGCTGTTTGCAAATAACCCTGGTATTTTGCCCACTTGTTGCTGGATGTTAGCAAACACGGTTGAATTAATTGAGCTTATTGTCGACATACGACCATACACAATTGCATTTTCTAAATTACAATTATTTGATCATTACCAATTTTAATAGTAAACTTATTAATAATATATTTTTTTAAAACTCAACTTACGGACAATAGTGTGTTCATTCAACATCAAGCACGAATACGTTAGCAAGTACGTTTGATAGTCAGTGTCCAGGATGAATAACTGACCACCTATCAAAAATTATATATATAATCAAATTTAGTGGTTAAAATATTAAGTAAAAGTAAAACATTGCATAATATACTTACTTACAAAACTACCATTTACGTAATATATAATTGATGGTGGTGATTGCACAATATAGCTAGGTCCCATATTAACGCCAGAAGTTTGGTTGGTACTATACATATAAAAGTTAAAAATGTTAATACATTATTAATAAATGTTATTTAATAAAACTTTTATTTACTTCATGTTTAGATCAGTATAGCGATAACCAATTGTACTATTATTGGGTGTAGGGGTTAGCGTGATATACGGGCACCTGGCATTGGTGATTGAATTGTTCGGGGTAACAGCTAGTTCGTACCATAGTCCAGTTAACTGTAAATAGTTAATGTTTGTAATATTTTACAATTATTATATTTTAAATAAGTGCAAATATTACCGAGCTGAAATTCACAGTAGGCATACCCGTTACATTTGGGCATTGAGATTGAGTGCCATTTGTTATGGTGAGGTTAGTCTGGGCTAAACTATAGCCACAAAGTGTGATGGCTACAATTAAATAAAAATTAAACATTTCTCAGATTTTCAAGTATTAAAATTTTATAAAATATTGTTAGCAAGTAAAGTTTTTGAAAATTTATACTAATTGTAGCTTATAATTGTACAGTATTTAAAACTATATTTGAACTGTATTTATAGCGTGATTGTTTGTTATTTTTAAATAAGTATTTTAAATATCATGGTAATTTCAATAAGTCCGGGTTTCAAAATACTGTAAAAAGATTTTCAAATGGTTTACAATGATAATTTTATTATTTTCGTTGTTTTACAATATTAAATTTCTCAATATTAATTGCTACATTTATAGTTATTATATTATATTTACAAGTTGTTAGTAATATTGTTTGTTTCATAAAATTTAACTTTGTCATCTGAATTTCATTTTACCAGGATTTAAAATTTTTTATATCATTTTAAATCTTGAGAAACATAATTTTCAAAAGTTATTATTACAGCCAAAATGTAGATAAAGGTACATAAAATTAATTTGATTATATTTTGATATTACTTTGCCTATTACCTTTCTATCTGGTTTCATTAACCAAGTCCTATCTAACAAAATACCATTTAATAAATAAAATGTCATGCTTATTTATTTTAACTTATTTAATGTAAGAACAATTAAATAACATAATAAAATAATAAAAATATTTAACTTCTTAATTTTTAATTAATTTTTTAAAAATTGTTTATTAAAACTGTAAACTTTGTTTTACCTTACAAATAATTTAAATTTTAAATTACAATTATAATAATTGGGTGATATTATGGCTGAGAGATTTTTATTTTAATCATAAAATTAACAAAACGTATTGATTTATATTTATTTAAAATGTAATCATTATAAATACTTATAATACATTTACAATACTATTAAATTTAACATTAAACAATAAACAATCATTATGTATGACTGTTTAATTTTATATTGTATTTATACAACCAAATATCCACGATCATTAAGATTATATATTATTTATTTGACATTTTAATGATCATATTTATGATCATTTTATAATCACAAGATATTTTTATTAACTAGTAATTCAAATAAAAATCAACATTATAAATTTTACTATAGATTACTTAAAATACTTAATAATAATTATTATTGAATTTAAAAACTATTATTTTTAAGTTAATAAGCTAAATATATATATTAAATGATGGAAATAAAAAGTGATAAAATATTACCAGGATCAGTGGTGATCAGGAGGTCCGGTACTCATCTCTCCAGTATTGGTCTCTCACTCTATAAGCCATTCAATGCCACAAACCGTTCACTCATTTATAGTCCAATTCTCGTGTTTTCAGCACTAGTTTTAACAATTTTACGACAATTAATATTAGTTTTAATTCCTGAACAAAGTCTAGAGTTTTATACAAAGGTTGGAGATGTCAATTATTTTACCGGTATACGATTACAATCATCAGGGGCAGTTATCATTACTTCAATTATAGCGGTGTCCTCACAACTACTGAATTACTATAACTATAGTCGAGGTATAAAACCGCGGGATTTGTGTGTATTTTGGATGCTTTCGGGTTT